AACTCGAAGGCCCAGAAGACTACGAAAGGGAAGACGGTCTCGAGCAAGAAAGCTGCCAGCAAGAGTACGGTGGGCCGCAACCGCAAGACGAGCGCCAAAGGCAACCTTACGCGAAACAAGACTGCGAAGAAAGGTGCAAATGCTTCAAAGATCTCCAAAGGGAAGACCGCGTCGAGGACCAAGTCCACGAAGGCCAGGACCGCGAAAGGTTCTAAAGCTCTTACCAAGGGCAAAGCAGCGTCCAAGACCAGAGTCGGAGTGAAGAACAAAGTCACTTCGGCAAAGTCAAGGAACAAGAAGGCAAATACTTCGCTAAAGAAGGGCCGAACTGGCTCTGTCACCAAGGGCAAGACGAGCGCCGCCAAAGCCAAGTCAACACGCAAAGGGAAAGCTCTTTGAAGCTGTTTTGCCCTTGGCTAAAGTTTTACTCTTTATGGCCCGGTCCTTGGTGGAAGCTCCGCCCTTGCTCCTTGTTGTACCTTTCTCCATTGAGGCCTTCCCCTTTGCGGTGGCCTTGGAGGCTCCTTTGGCTGCCTTTGCGTTTGATGTTGTTTTGCTATTAGGCTTTCTCGTCTTCGCGTCCAAAGATGACTTGGTTGTTGGTCTCGACTTTTGACTGGACTTGGTCGATTTCTGAGTTTCTTTGCTACTCTTCAAGCCAGATTTGCTGCCATCGGCTGATTTTGACAACTGTTTCGACTCCTTGCCTTGCTTGGAGGCAGCTTTGGCCCGAGCTTCGGAGCAGGGGGACCGCTTAGAAAGGCCCTAGAAATGATATTAGATTTCCATCATACACTGATTCATGAAATAGTGCCAAAAGGAGTGAAGAGATACTCACAGAGAACGGACAAGTTCCTCCACTCTGAGCGTTCAATTTCGCTTGCTTACGTTCTATGTTCGCCTTCTGGCGGTCTCTTCTCTCGTCTTGATCTGTAACCCGGAACCATCAGTAATAACCTTGGAGGCTTGTTGAGCCACACGCACCTTTCTTGCCCAGAGCGGCCAAGACCTTCCACGAGTCCGCATTTCGGTGAGGATTACTTGCGACTGTGACATATGTTTGGAAGCTTGGTCCAAGGGCACTTTTGCCATTGTTGATGACATCTTCGGTCGTCCCGTCAATATCTATATCATGTGAGGGAAAATGAGTGGTCAACTAGGGGTTGCTTGGGTTCGGTTTGGGTACATACATCCTTTTCCACGCCGGACATCTTGAGGGGGAATCTTGTTCTCTCTAGCGTAGGCTTCTCGGCTACTGATGAACTTCACTGGACCTGGACTATTTGCGACGATATGATCTCCTGTCCCCAGTTGTGCATGACTTAGTTCATGAATCAAAGTACCAGCCCTATTCACGCGGTTCTCGTTGTGCCAGTCAGTACCAAAATAGGCAGTGGGGACGTTCCCAGCCCCTTTTTTAGGGAATATAACCATCGCGGGGAACGCCCCGTCTTTTATTGCGGCTTCCGAATTATGCGGATTCCGGTCATGAACCTGTAGATTTGCGTGCCTCATCTTGTGGATATCCTGTTTTAATTGATCATGATGGTCTCGCCATTTGGGGCCGAATGCTGTTTCGAGCATCTCTACGTTCTTTGGATTGTCGGCATTCTTGATGATCTTTTCCATTTTTTTCATCATCTTATTGGCTATTGGTATTCAAAGTTAGCATCTAGCACAAAATACTGAAAGGGGATATCATCTTACAATCCTTTACGGACTCCCTGAAGTTTTGATCGTAGGTTGTTGCGTCATCAAACGGGTCTGTCGGGGCGGGGGACAGATGTTCCAATCTCATAGGGACAGGGATCGCTCGTATAACTATCAGGATACCTTGAGTATTCGACCGCACATGGAAGAGATATGTTATACGTACGCTCAGAGATCGCCAGCAATAGCGGTAGGAGGATTGTGAGATGCATTTTGAAAGGAGGGGTGTTCCAGCACCTGTTTGGACATGGTTCATCGGTAATCGGGTTGGTTTAGCAGATGAAGACACTTACAATAGATAATATAATATTAAAGTAAATAAAGGAAGATGAATAAAGTCGACCTGTCGACAGAGGTGGGGAGAAGAAAAAGGGCTGAAGACGTTTTGTGGATTACTTGACTGTGCTTTAAAGGCCCTACCACTGATGCAGGTGTACAGGCCAGGGTGCGCTAATCTCTAGCAATTCAGTTCGGCTGTGAATGGCCGATCATTGCGGCGGATACCTTGCAATACAGATTCCCGTATTTAGGTATACTCGAAGTAACGGTACATAACCTTTTCACGAGTAGTTGATATCATCTCTCGCAATCGCTTCACTCACCTATCGCCCCTATTTCCTTGTTTATTTGCTCAAATCTGATGATCTGAGCAATGTGGGATTCCAGTTGTGGGAGCTATCGAACGGCGCATGCTCCCCGGTATCCTTGATTCATTGACCGTGGATCTTCATAGTATAAACGTTCTGAGGCATTCATCTACTCGATCCAGTGTGGGTTTTTCGTGCTGTGGCGTTGATGATGCACACCTCCGAAAACCTGGCCGGTGCCGTCAATGACAAATTACGTTCAGTGACATGAGAACACTACCACGGCAAAAATTCGATCCTGTATCTCCATTGCTACAGATTGCAAAGGCGTTGTGGGTTTACAATAGGTTGGCTGTGATTTTCGGCAGTGCCATGGATAGCGGTGCTTATGGGACAGGGACTAAAAGACAGCCGGTTTAATCGTGCGCTTTGCCTAGATAGATACTTTTGAAGAAATTCCTGAAAGAGTATCGCACTGGAGGTGTGCCAAGATGAAATGTAACGACTGATGCACGTGAGTCGAGGACAACCCTGCTGCAGCTGTGTGACAAAAAAAGGAAATTCGTCATACAGCGATTTTCCCTCCAAGAGACGTTTTATTTCCCTCAATACATACAGTTTATTCATTTCTTTTTGCTGCACTGAGATTCAGCGATAGTTTCACTCTCGGCTTGCATTATGGACGATCAATTGTACATCACCGCGTTGCTGAAGTTTAGTGAAACCACCGATACACCTTATTCGTCAGAATCAGATGATTTGAGTCTAGGTCGATTCCTCACAACGACAGTAGTAAGATTCACCCTTACGGTCACTAGTCATTATTGCACGTCTACATTCACCACTAGGGAGACACCTATTTAGTACAACAGACATCTCTTAACGAAGTACGTTTGGGTAGATAAGAGCAATTCACAAGCGTTCTATACTTTTATCGACCGCCTTTGCCAGATTTCTTGACGACTGCTTTGACAGGAGTAGTGACCTTCTTTGGAGCAGCTTTTGGAGCGGCCTTTCTGGGTGCAGCCTTCGTCACTGTAGCCTTCCTTGGTGCTGCTTTCGGAGCTGTCTTCTTTGGTGCTGCCTTCGATACAACCTTCCTTGGAGTAGCCTTTGGTGCGGCTTTCCTTGGAGTGGTCTTCTGTGCGGGTCGCTTCGACGCGGCTTTATTCTGGGTCGGCTTCTTCGTTGCACTCTTCTTTGGGGCTGCTTTTCTTTGTGCAGACTTTTTCGGTCCAGCTTGCTTTGAGCTCGATTTCTTCGCTGAGGCTTGCTTCGGCGACGCCTTCTTGACTCCGGCTTTTGCGCTAGTCTTCTTTGTGGGTGCCTGTTTCCTAGAGCCGACCGATTTCGAGGACTGATTCTTTCGTCCTGCTTGCTTTCCACCTGCGTTTGTCTTTCGCTGCGTCGACTTCTTTGATACTGCTGACTTGGTCGCTTTCTTGGGTGATTTACGTCCCTTTGACTTGGATCCTGTCTGCTTCGTACGACTAGGAGACTTTTTAGTTGACGGTCGAGTCGACTTCTGGGACTTATTCGCCTTGGACTTTGCCTTGACAGCGTTGGTCTTTTGCTTCTTGTTGACATTACCCTTTTGCTTCTTCGACACGTTCTTGCCTCGAGATATGGACGTCTTTGACCTTGAGCTTGTTGCTTTGCCCTTGCGTGACTTCGTGGACGCAGCGCCGCCCTTTTGCTTCTTCGACACATTCTTGCCTCTAGATGTGGACGACTTTGACTTGGGGCCCGGAGATTTACCCTTGCGTGACTTCGTGGTCGCGGCGCTGCCCTTCTGCTTCCTGTTGACATTGCCCTTCTGTTTCGATGAGCTAGCTTTGCCTCTTGATTTTGACTTTGAGTTTAGAGCTTTGCCTTTACGTGTTGACTTGGCTTTGGCGGCGCTCGTCTTGCCTTTGGTCACAGAGCCAGTGCGGCCTTTCTTGAGCGAAGTATTTGCTTTCTTGTTCCTTGACTTTGACGCAGCAGATTTGCCTTTTGTTGCGACTCTGTTCTTAGACGCGGCTTTGCCTTTGGTAAGCCCTTTGGAACTCTTTGCGGTCTTGCCCTTCGTGGACTTGGTCCTCGATGTGGCCTTTCCTTTAGGGGTCTTTGAAGTATTTAAGCCTTTCTTCGTAGCCTTGTTTCGCACGAGGTTGCCTTTCGCGCTCGTCTTGCGGTTACGGCCCACCGTACCCTTGTTGGCAGCTTTCTTGCTCGAAACTACCTTTCCTTTGGTGGCTTTTCCGGCCTTTGAAGTCGTCTTGGCTTTACTGACGGCTCGGTTCTTTGAAGTTGTCTTGTTCTTCAAAGCTTTGCTCGAGACGTACTCATCCCTGGTCGGATCCCTGCCCTTGCCTTTC